AACTAATTTTGGCCTTTTTTTCATTTTCTAGTTTAACAATTTAGGACCCAACAATTAATAAAAAGGTACAGTTAGTATTTTATTTATATATGTAAACATAAAAAGTGAACCAGCTCTATAAATTAACACAAAAAGGACATTTTTATTTTAAATCTTAACCTTTTTTTCACTAAAAACACTACATAAAAACACCAAAAACCTTGTTTTTCACAGAGGTTTAATCATAAAAACATGTAAAGTTTTAAATAACAAAATACAACTGTTAATTGTTAAACTGTTAAATCCTGAAACTCTGAAAAACATTGAAGGTATTGTTATTGCTGGACTTATTGTTGTATTTTTTAAAATGCTGCATCATGTTTTATTTTGAGATGCATTAAATGTTGCAGAATATAATTTTTACCTGAATGCATCATAAACCCTAAATGTTGAAGCAGTGAACACGTGAAGGATTAATCTTTGTACGATTCTGTTTTTAATAAAAAAAAAATAAATCAAATTGAAAATGCTCTGAGTGGTTCAAATTTCCTCTTACTGTGTTTGCTGGTTAATCATTATTGGATGTGCGTCTACAACTAATTATTTTTCTGGAAGTCCTGCTCCAACTTTATTTTTCTGGTCCTGTTTGAAGAAAACTACAGAACAGGTGGAGTAACTGCAGGCTGGTGAATCCACAATGTGCTCTATAAATAAACCCATTTAGTCACCACTAACCCAGTTAGTGGTTTGTCTGCTCAGCCTGCTGTTTCTTTTATGTCCACTCAGCTTTCAGTCTTCAGATTTCAGTTTGACTCCAACTGAACAAGTTTGTTTCTCAACATGTTTGACAAAATGATGTTTTCTAATTGGATAGTCAAAAAAAAAAAAAAAAACCTGAAAATTCCAAGAAAGGCGTTCCAGTTTTTTGTTTCTAGTTGAGTTGTTTAGTTTGGCTCCAGTTCTGTTGTACTTCCTGTTTTATTTTGTAGATTCCGTCCCTTTCCTGATCACCTGGTCACCACTACTGTCTTCTGTGTGTTTGTCCTGCTGTCTTCCTTCGATTTCCCCGCCACAAATCTAATAACAGATGTTCTTTCATGCATCATAATAGGTTAATTTTATAAAGTAATTTCTCAGATAAAAATAGGGCTTTAGATGCACTAAAAGGATATTTTAGTTCCTGAAATTTCACCAGTAAGAAGCCTTAAAAACAGACAAATTTAGAGTTTACTTGAGTAAAATGAGGGATTCTGGCATTGATCTGTWTTACTGGATTGGACATCACAGGACTTTTGACTCAGGAACGTCCATGAATGGTGTTAAAAATGAGATGTAACAGACAGWCATGCAAGGAAAAGGGCTGCAATATTTTGCCTCAAATTGTCAACAAGATCAAGGTTTGCACCAGAGGTGCCCAAAGTGGGGCCTGTGGGCCAGAATTGACCCACCGAGCCATTTGATTTGGCCCACCAGCAGTTGTCCTGGTTACTAGATTGTGATTATGTTAAGATTAAATATAAAATACAAGTAATTACAAGAGACATTTAGGTTAGATTTAAGCCCATGTATAGATTTACACACCAAGACCACATACTCAAATTTTAAATTATGAAAAGTCCCATGAGCCTTTGCTGCCTGAGCATATGTTGAATTTTCTCCATGTCCATGAGCTGAAAAAAAAATTATGTGGGCAACCACACTGGCTGCTTGTTTAATCATAAAAAAATAAAATTTTACTGAAGTATTTGTATTTCTTATATTATTGCGTTTGGCCCGCGGCCCTCAGATTGATTTTAATTTTGGCCCTCTCAGGGAGAGTGTTTGGGCACCCCTGATTTACACTTTACAGGTCATTAAAATATATATTTT